AAATCCGTGGTCACAATTCGGATGCATAATATATGCTCCTTTCAGTTTGTACCTCGGGCTATGATAAAAGATGTAGATATCGTAACTAAAATGGCCAGAAGAAAGAAACAACCCTATGTAATCAATTGGCCATTTTCATAATAATAAATTTAGAAGGTTGCCAAAAAAAATATTCCGTTAGCTATTTAGTTTAAAAAATCTAGATTCGTTTTTGAAACCGACAATTTCATTGGGTATGTAGGACCTTTCTTGAATGTCAAAAATATTTTTTGACGTAGAACTCATTAGATGCCAAAGAGATTTAGTTAAATAGAAACTGATAAAAAATAGAAATTTCAAATATTTTCAACTTGACAGAACAAAGTCAAATAAATCCCATGAAAATGATAGAAGTTAGCGGGTTGTGAAAGTGATGAACGACCAGACTAACAGTAGTTTTTATTTTCCATCTAAAACCACAATAACTAATATATAGATAGAGACCACAAGTACAGTAATAACTAGCTGTCAATTCCAACATAGTCTTACAATCTCCACCGTAAGATCTGGGTGATCGACTACAAAAACCTTGATTTCAGTAGAACTAGAAATCTCATTTTTATTAAACTTTGATAACAACGATGGCTGCTGTCACTGAGAGCTTTGTCATAAGGGATTTTGCAAAGGTCAAGGACTTTAAAAGTATTGGATGAGTTTTTTTTTTAGCTAAAATAGTATTGAAAGAGTTAAGAAATGATATAAACTCTTTCAGGCGTACGTATAAACTTTAAGACGTATGCAGAAAAGAACTTATATCATCTCATAACTCTTAGAAGGCTCCTAAAGTTTTTAAGCTTTCTTATTCCTTCTAACAAAGATCTCAGTGATCAATGTAATCAAAATCAATAAAAATGAGATTTTTTAATTTTATTGAGTTCAAGGTTTTCTCATATTTGTAGACTGACCTAACATGCTGTTTTGCTTTCCCTGAAAGCATTGAGCAAAAGTCTAACTCTTCTTATTTCAGCTCAGAAAGAGTGATTATCTCCACCTTGCATTTGTTTGCTTTAAACATCTTCGCAAACACCTCTGATCTTGCAGACTGTACATACAAGTTCCATATATATGTCATATAAATAAAATTAGTTATGAGATAATTTCATGTAAGAGCGTTTAATTAGGTGAATTGTTTACTAAATCAGATAGTGATAACTAAAAAAGAGAAGAAAAGAAGCCGCAACCAAAATAAGCTTATGGAAAGGATAGTTGCCTTTTGATCACATGTATTCAGCCGTACATCGTCTTTCTGGTGCTCAAAACCTTTAGAAATCCACTAACGAAAATCTCTTTGTTGATAAAAAATAAGCTATTTGTTTGGCGGTGTCCCCATTACTAGTATTTAACCTGGAGTAGACCTACCAAACTATTGTTGTTTCTAAGTATATATTAGAGAGAGAGTGAGCCTAGACAGTCAAAATTACTTTTTATTGTCGAGCCCAAATTTATGTCTATTGAACTATGTAAATTTATGTTATAATGTGAAGTGAAATGTGGATCAAATGTATTTTGAGCTTTAAAATTAAAAGTCTTTCACTTAAATGAAATAGAAGAGTAAAAAGTTTCACATTGCTTATGACAAGAGAAATTTTGTAGTATAAATATGGCACTCCCTTATCAAGGTTCAATAGTTTTTGGGGACACTATGGAGAAGGAGTGAGAGAGACCACTATGCAAACCACACACGCACGCCACCACCGTCGGGTCGGTCTTAGACTTGGGTCTTGGATCTTGGTGAATGTAGGCTTAGCTTAGAATAAGATGGCCTCTTTGGAGCAAATTACAAGATTTTTTGCATAATTTGCTAAATACATCTTAAAACTGTGGATGCTTTTATGTACACAACAGTAGTGCTTATCGGTTTCTGGTAATCCAATCATATGTGCCAGAGATCCACGTTAACACTATTATGGAATCAAGGAATGCTTCATTCTTTGAAGATATATTTCCGTGTAAGGATAAACAACATCCAAAACGCACTCGTGAAAAAAGAGATGCGATTTTTGCTATGGATAAGGCAAGTACTTCTATAAATGATGTAATCAAAGCAGAAGATGTTGTAGATGAACCAAGACTAAGCAAAAGTCTTTTGGCGAAGATTACATTATGATGGCATTTCTCACTTAAAATGTTCCAAAATCTTACGCAGAAGCCATGTCTAACCCTGACGCAGACTTCTGGAAAGAATCAGTCAATAGTGAATTTGATTCTATATTACAGAATCATACCTTTGAGATGGTTGATTTACCTCAAGGGTTTAAACCACTAGGGTCCAGATGGTTGTTCATAAGGAAATTAAAAACCAATATGGCTCAACTGATAAGCACAAGTCCAGACTTGTGGTGCAAGAACATAGACAAAAAGAAGATCTAAATTTCTTTGACACTTATTCTCCAGTGACGAGAATAGCTTCAATCAGACTCTTGATCGCAATTGCTGCATTGCAAAATCTGGAAACCCATCAAATGGATGTTAAAACTGTCTTTCTGAATGGAGATTTAGAAGAGGTTCAGACCTACTCCAGTGGAACTGCAAAAACTCTTGTAGACGTTATATTGCACTTGACCAAGAATGTTGGCGAGGCAGTATTACAAAGGGAGTATGTATATGTAATGGGAAGTCTAATGTCCTTAACCAATTGTACAAGATCCAATTAAGCGCATGCGGTCAACGTATTAAGTCGCTACATATGTAATACATGTCACACACACTAGCAATCCATAACAAGGATATTAAATTATTTGTGATACACCAAAAGTTAAGGGCTGCACTATGGTAAAGAACCAGCAGTCTTAGGAGGATACAATAATGGAAACTGGATATCAGACTCAAAGAACTCAAAATCCACCAGTGGATATGTCTTTACGCTTGCGGGTGCAGCAATATCTTGGAATCTTCCAACCAAACTTTATTGGCAAGATCCACAATAAAATCTGAGTTCATTTCTTTAGATAAAGCAGCAGGAGAGGCAGAATGGCTTCGTTATCTCTTGGAAGATATTCCAATGTGGGAGAAACCAGTACTGCTCTATGCATACATTGCGATAGTTAATCAACTATAGCTCGGGCACTGAACACTCTATATAGTGGTAAATCATGTCACATTAGTCGGCGACATAAGACCATTAGACACTTGATCTCAACCGATGTTACATCTGTCGATTACATCAAGTCATTTGACAACCTTGCGGATCCATTTACCAAAGGTTTAACAAGAGATCAAGTACTAAAATCATCTAAGGGAATGGGTTTATTGCCTACGAATAAGAAGATGCTCGACGGAAACCCCACCAACGCGATTGGAGATCCCAAGAGGTTGGTTCAAAAGGAAAACTAAGTCAAGCAGAATCTGACTAAAAGTACTAAGATTTACTCAAATCCCAGGATGAAAACAGTGTTTCATGAAGATATTAAGGTAAAACAGTGACATTTTAATGAGTTAAGACCATAAATCTTTCATATTCATGTATATAGGGTCTAACAGGATACCTTTTTGTATGTGTCAGGTATATATAGCAATCACCTAGTGAGTGTGAAATTGGGCCATTTCTAAGAGAAGAAATTCAGGCAAGTCTCTCCAAATTCACTCATGACAACAAGGCAAGTTTACGGTCAAAACGAACACAATAGAGAACTTAACTCTACGAGAAGATGAAGCTGTGTTAAATCTGCTGTCTCGGTTTACACATGGGTGGTTCAAAACATCACGTTCACCTTCTGAAATATAAATCTAGCAGGTACTAACAATGAGTGGTTCTATGTTGGAATACGCTACTACTTCAGATGTAGTTAATCTTTGTTTATACTCTCGGAAAGTCTATTTGTCTAGTTTATTGTTAAGTTTAATCAGTAGTGTCTGTCGAGCCTGCATAGTTTAATCGAGTCCGCATTATTTAGAGTAATTTTTATTCATGTGAGAGATTTTTGGAACCCAAATTTATAAGCATATTGAACTGTGTAAATTTATGTTATAATGTAAAGAGAAATGTGGATCAAATGTCTTTTGGGCTCTAAAATTAAAAGTATTTCACTTGAATGAAATGGAAAAGTTAAAAGTCTCACATTACTTATGACAAGAGAAATCTTGTAATATAAATAAGGCATTTCCTTATTAAGGTTCAATAGCTTGTGAAGACATTATAGAGAAGGAGCGAGAGGGGCCATTATGTAAACCACACACGCGCACTCTGCCGCCTCCAGGCTTGGGCTTGGGCTTGGCTTGGGTCTTAGTGAATGCGGTTTTGTAAAACCCACAATAAGATTTTCTTTTTATAGTAAATTAATATCAACGTTGCATAATTTCTTAAATAAATCATAATAGATTGTTTATAATTAATCTCGATAAATCTAAACGTTTTAGATTGTGTCAAAATCATTTCAAAAAAACTTCCAGATAATTATTGGCATATTTATGATCCTCTCTTACGCGATAAACCTAAATAATTTCATAATATTTCAGCAATATTTTGAGAATGTTCCAATAATATTCTTTCCTTATTGTTATCATAGATTTGTCGATCAAGTATCCTCCCTATATAAATAGGTGTCTAGCATTTTCACTATTTTACACGCTTAAAAACAATTAGAAAGTAGTTCCAGCAAAAATAAATATAATTGTTTATTTAAGTGAGTCTCGAAAATATTATTAGTAGTAGTTATAGTTTGAAGATTATGTTTTGAGTGCATCAAAACAGTCATTGTGGTTCATCTCACATTATAGGTGATTTATTAAATTAAGAAAATAGATCAAATGTCGACTCCACAAATTTATCTATTTCACAACAATTTCTTAAATGTTTTTTTTCGTGTTATCGATTTTCAGTCAAGAAACATTTACTACGTTCGGTTTCCAAGACGTTGGAAACGAGGGAAATGATACATGAGACTCCGGTAATTTGAAAAGGAAGTTGTAGACATAAAAGTTAAAGATAACTCTGACTTCCCAATCATCGCCATCCAAACATTGAGTAAATTAGCTTTTTCTATAAATTTTCATCAAAACAACCGAAATGATACATTATGAGATACAAAGCCTGCTGAATAAACACCTTCTATGGCAGTCAATACTGTTTACAGAAAAATTACACCCAACTCACATCTATATACATTTTTATAAGAAGAAAAAAAAAAGGCAAAACGAAATAAAGAAACCCAGTAGAAAGTAAAAAAATGACACTCTTCATCGGGGACCGGAGAGCTCAATAGCTTCGACGATAAGAGATGATTCTTGGATATAATCGGAGTAATACCTCTCCCGCGGCGAAGAGCTCACCATTCCCGACGGCAACGGCGGTGGCAGTGACTCCGCCCCACCGCTCTGCGAAGATTCCCATCTCTCAGCCAAACCGTCGCCTTCAAGCATCTTCATAACTTGGGACATTTTAGGTCGATTAGATGGATTGAGCTGAGTGCACAGAAGAGCAACTTGAACTATTTCTTCGAGCTCCACTCTATCGAACTTGTCGTTAAGATCTTTGTCTATTAATTGCTTTAGTTTCCCTTCTTGGTGCAGCTTCTTCACCTGCCATGTTTAACAAGTCTCGTTTCTTATACTAATAAACCAAACCAAACCAAATTAAAATTGTCTTTCTTCGATATGACATGCAAACAAATTCAGACCGAACCAAATTTTCAAACTTATGCTAATGAAACTGATCGACTGGAACCAAAAGTTCTAAATCTAATCCGAATGAAAATCATGTTTAATTTTTCTTCATAATGACTCGCAAAACGAACTTAACCGGAATCAAAATCAAAGATAAACCAAACCACAGCTTATACTTAACAGAACTGAGTTTAAACCAAGTCAAAAACACAGACCGAAACTAAACCATTACCGATATTAAATCTAACCCGATTCTAAACCCAAATCATGGTTAAATTCGACTTTATTTTGGTTTAAAGGTTCCTCTCAAGCAAATTACCTCCAAGATTCTAGGAAGTGAAGCAAGAAAAAGAGCAAAAAAAAAGACTTACCCAATCGAGCATGACCCCTTTCTGGTGTGAGGAACGGCCAAAATCAAGAGCTTTCTGACCAGTAATGAGCTCAAGAAGTAGTATACCAAAGCCAAAGACATCAGTCTTCTCCGAGGACTGACCAGTGGATAAGTACTCAGGTGCAATGTGGCCAACGGTTCCACGAACCGCGGTTGTGACATGAGAGTCTCTATGGTCTAGAAGCTTAGCTAACCCGAAATCACCAACAACCGCCTCAAAGTCTTCATCTAACAAAATGTTAGCTGCCTTCACATCACGGTGTATAATCTTGGGGTCACATTGCTCATGGAGGTACACTAATCCCCTTGCAGTACCAACCGCTATCTTCTTCCTTCTTGACCAGTCTAACGCTGGTTCTCCTCTGATATTATCTAACAAAAGTTGCAAGCTAAATTTAAAAACTCTTGAAAAAGAGTGGGAAAATAACCGAAAAAATGGTTTTGGAAAACTGCATTACCTTTTAAGCGTGAAGCAACGCTTCCATTAGGCATGTAAGGGTAGACTAAGATTCTCTCATTGTTGCTACTACAGAAACCTCGAAGCCTGAGGAGATTGCGATGAAGAGCTAGACTTATAGTCTCTACTTCTGTCTGAAACTGGATTTCTCCTCCTGCTATGTTACAGTCTTTGAGACGCTTTACAGCAACCAATGATCCGTCGCTTAAGTGTCCTTTGTACACAATCCCGTAACCGCCTTGCCCGAGAATGTTCTTTGAGTTGAAATGATTGGTTGCGGATCTAAGCTCCTTGAATGTATACCTCTTCAAGTGTCCTAAGCTCACCTCTGGATCATATTGTTCTGCTAAATATCACTTAATTAAGATGGGACTGTTGTAAGAAGCACAAGATAATTTCAAAGCTCAGAAATTTTCTAAGATACTAACCATTAACGTCGAAAAATATTTGCTTGTTGCGTCGATATCTCCACCAGAGAAACATTCCACTTGTAAAGATAACAAAAAATGCAGCGCTGAAGCTTGCGGCGAATGCAAGAGCTACATGATGGCCATTGGAATGAGTTCCTGATTCATCTTTAAAACAAAAACAACCAATGAAGTAAGTGAGAAGGTTCACTGAAGCACCAGAGAAGCAGACGGGTAATACCTGATGGATCGTCTTGTGGAAGTGTGAGAGGCTCAGGGAAGACAGCAGAACAGTTTGTAACAGATTTTGAGCCACACAATAACGCGTTTCCGATTACTCTTTTAAGAGTCCAAGAAACAGAACAAAGTTAGTGGAAAGATTAGTTATTTGGATAAATCTAGTAAAGCTTACTTGACGGTTCTGGCAGACACTTTTGGCAGCGAACCGCTAAGGTTGTTATACGAAATGTCGCTGCAAGTTAAAGTATTTTAACAAATAAGTTGGTATTTTATTCGACCGTGGAACAAAAGAAAGCAGAGTTTAGAGTTAGAGACATACACTAGAGTGAGTCCCTCGATCTTGGATAGAGACCCGGGGCAAGTTCCTGAAAGACTGTTATTGTTTAACCGCCTAAAAAAAAAAAAAGCCAAATGAGCAAGAACGGAACAAAACACTGAGACACTTGAACTGAATTGAATATCATAATAATGACACAAAAGAATCAGTGTGAATTGACACTCACAAGTAATTCAAGTTCTTGAGTTCACCAAGTGAAGCTGGTATCTCCCCGGTCAATGAATTGTTGGAAAGATCGAGTGTATGAAGCTTATCCAACCTCCCAATCGTATCAGGAATCGGACCCGAGATTGCATTGTTTTGCAACAACCTAAACCACAACCATTTAACTCAGCAACAGCAATAAAGAAACGACAGAACAAGAAGCAAACATAGCAAAGAAAACTAGAAAAACTTACACAATTTGTAGATAAGTGAGGTTTCCGATTCTAGGAGACAATGTACCAGACAAGCTTTGGCTAGGAAGTCCCCTGTTTCATTAAGCAAACAAGACATAAGTCTCAAAGATCTATCTTGCTCAATCTAAAGTTGGTCTTGTGCAATAGCGAGAGAGGAGAGAAACGCACAGTGCAGAGACATAGCCATCAGTGCAAGTGACCATTCTCCAGCTACATGGATCAACTGAATTCACATCCCAGTTCTCCAGAACATTGTACGGATCACTCAATTCATTCTTTATAGCTACCAAAGCTGTCACTGCTCATTTCAGACCAACAGAACACATGAAAAATTCACATTTTAGATAAACAAAATCTAGCTTCAAAACTCTTATAAATTTATTTTTTTGCTAGAAAATGTATTTTGATATTGAAATAGAAAGAAACACAGATTTCTTTCATCCAAGAAAAACTTTAATGTAACTGAGGGAATTTCTCAGAGAGAAATAATTAAAACATGAGCTGGTATTGCCGTATTGGTTAGTTTATGTATGGTTCTGGTAAGAGCATTTAAAGCTGATATTTATTATCCAATAAATACAAAAGACAACACAATCCACACAAAACATTCGCCAGAATTTTCGCAAAAGGGAAGAAACATAGTCAAACAAAGATGATAAATTGTTCAGAGAAACTCCAATCTGAAGTCCTATGTTTGAGACAAATTAAAAAAGAAAAAAAAAACTTTTTTCTTTCTTTCAGAATTTGAGATGGCTCCGAAGAATGAAGAAGAAGACTGACCTTCATAGTTAACACCAGTAGGAGAAAGTGTAGCAATGGTGACATCAAGGAACCATACCAAAACCAGAAACCATAATCTCCAGAGCACCAATTTTACACCTTCCATGGCAATATTCCCTCTTTAAGCAATCAACTTTTGTCTATCTGGAAAATAACTTCTCTCTCACTCTCTGTCCCAAATGTGAATGAAAGACTTTGCCTATCTTCTACTTCCCCTGTCTTTTTCAGACACAGAGACTACGTTGAGCAATCTTCTTCACGCAGGGGACCTCTTTCTTTCTAAATTCAAATCAAATGGAGAAGACCCACAAGAAAAAAGATTGACGCCTTGTTAATATACCCAGCTTGGAAAGATAATTTTTGGATGAAGCATTCAGAGAATGTGACGAACAAGAAGAAAGAGAGAGGGAGAGAACGAGAGTATAAAACTAATGAAGAGAATTATCCCGAGAAACAAAAGCTAACAAAACCACCAAAATGCCCTGAAAGTCTGAGAATTGTTTTCTAGAGATCTGAGAAAAGGAATGCAATTGAGTGATACTGTTTTTACTATTTTAATTGTTTCTTTCTTGAGTAATAATTAGGGAAAATTCCATATAAATACCCTAACTAAATTCTATTAAGATTTTTAATACCCAAACTTTTTCACTACCCAGTTTAAAACCTCAACTAATTATTCTGCCCACTTTAATACATCAACTTTTATAACTGTATCCATTTTAATACTCAAACTTTGTTTATTTTAATTAACAATACTAATAAGTTTCCAATGAAATTTTTAAAATGTCTAAACTTCAGAAAAAAAATTAATTTTATTATATGTTTGAGTAACGAAATTAAATAAATTTTTGATAATCTTAAGTTTTGTAATAAGTTTTTTAAGTTTTATATATTGAATTTAGTTTGTTTTTTTGAAATAAAAAGTAAATTATTTTTTTTCCTTCAAAAACTTTTTTTTTAAAACATTAAATTTTCTACAGAGTTTGTTTACCTTATTTCTTAAATCTTCAAATAAACTTAGAAAATTTAAATATTTTTTCTTAAATTTTGGAGATTTTTTAAAATTTCATTTGAAATTTATTAGTATTGTTAATTAAAATAAAAAAAATTTGAGTATTAAAATAGATACAGTTATAAAAGTTGGTGTATTAAAATGGGCAGAATAATTAGTTGAGGTATTAAACTGGGTAGTGAAAAAGTTTGGGTATTAAAAAGCTTAATAGAATTTAGTTGGGGTATTTATATGGAATTTTCCCTAATAATTATTTAGTAGTTAACCTTCACAATATTCTACTCCCTCCGTTCCACAATATAGGATATTTTATCCAAAGCACAAGAATTAAGAAACTTAACTTTTTAAAAAATAACATCATTGATAGTATAAATTTTAAATAAATTAACCAATCATAAATAATAAACTAAAATACTATTGGTCAACCGGTTTTCTATAAAGTTAAAGTATCTTAGAAATTTCAAAACATCTTATATTTTGAAACATCAATTTTCTTTAGAACATCTTATATTATGAAACGGAGGGAATAATTTTCAAGTAAGTTTTCCTTCTGATTCCACACCACTCTTACCTAATCTCAGTCGCCCTCTCTCATTGCAAACAAACAATATAAAATGAGGGAAGAAACGGAATTAAAAATTCATTAAAAGGGACCAAACAAGCAAAATCCCAAATGAAAATGCCAAAAACAAACAGAAAGATACTGACAGAATAACAAGAAAAGAAGAGACTCTGGGTGTGATTGGTTATTGCTGTAGATGCTCTCCACAGCCATAATTATATTTACAGTCATATATTTACACCAATCATGATTTTTATTTTTTCTAAAGCTCACAACCATTTTTTTAATTCTACAGCACTTCTTTAAATTCATGTCCTTATAATTGCTCTACAGAGACAAATACCTACAGCTCATATTTAAAGGCTTTTAAAAATTAAAAATCTAAAGCCAAAGCAAAAAAAATCACAGCAATATTTCTACAGCCAAAAAATGAAATCACAGCTCTTACCAATCACCCCCTCTGTTTTTCTCCCCTTTTTATTTTTATTTTATTTACACTCTTTTTCAAATAAGAAAAAAAAATAGTTTAATTTTATGTTTCATGATTTTAGTTTGAATTCTTTTCGCTTTTGCTTTCGGATAGAATTTTCAAGGACACACTTTAATATACAAAAATGTGATTCGACTGAAAGGATGGGTCACAGAGAAAGATAGATTTTATATGCTTTTTAGAAAAGTTACAGAGTGAAAAAAAATGACGAAGTCCTTTTTGTTGGGCAGATCACGTTCATGGCCTGTCTCTTATCTTGTTGGCTTTTTCTAGCTTCAATTATTTTATCCCTTTTTCAATTTTTGTCACACAAAAATAACATTTCTAGTATATTCAGAAAAATATAGAAAAAATGGCATAGTTAAAATTTCTATTAAGAACAGGTTTATCGGTTAGTTTCTCATTTAGGAAATGTTTTTAAAACTAAAACCCAAAGTTAAACCAGATAATTATTTAGATCATGGTTCAAAATGGTTCGATCGGGTCAAATTTGGTTCAATAATCTAGTTTATTTTTAAATAATAGAAATTAAACTAAAACTAGTAAGCATGATAAATAATTAAAATATAAATAAATATCAAATATAAACATTATAATATTAACTATTTTTGTTCATATGGTTTATAAATTTTGATAGTTTTTATTGAGTTCAATAACTTTGTCATTTAATCCGACTACTTGACCGATTCGTACTCGAACTAGTTATTTGACTCAACCGGCTACTTGACCGGTTTATGGTCAAACCTAGTCCACCTATCATGCTGATCCAATTTTGAGAAGACTGTATTTCAGAAGTCTTAGCATTAAATATTTATTATTTTAATACATTTTAAAAATATATTGAATTTAAATACTTAAAAAGACCATTTACATAGTTTCATATAAACACAAAAGTTCCCATGAGACTTTAGCATAGTGTATTTTGAGAATCTATTCTTAATCTCTTTCTTATCTTTTTCATTTCTTTTTTTGTTAGATATCTTATGAGATATACCTAAATACTTTAATAAACAATATGAAACTGATGACTAGAGTATTATGTGTTTAATATGTATTATTTTTCCTCTTTTAAGGTCTCACGCACGATTTATTTATTAATTTATTTATATTTTTTCATCTTTTTCATCAGTTCAATTGTTATTTCTTCTCCTTTTCATGATTCATCTCCTTCACAACTCTATCGATTCTATCTTTGATCACTTTGTCTCAGTCATCTCTAACTATAACATGGACATCACCATAAGTTTTTTTTTTTTTTTTTTGGTCAACACCATAAATTATTTCATCATCATCTCCATCACCATCATCACATGTCTTATTTTCTCTCTCACTTTCTCTTCTTCCCATCCACCAATAATACTAACTACATAAGTCATTCTTCCGCTAATGTTAAATACAAACTTTTTTTTTGTTGCCATCAGATACATTTTTTCGCTAATGTTAAATGAATTTTTTGATGTTCTATTCTTTTATCAACATATAGAATAGAAATGTAACACTATCTATTATCACATGTAGCCACTAATACCATCACCATGATCAGTTGCTTCATCACCGCTACTCTCTTCCATCACCATTGACACATGTCGTCTCATGACCTCTTTTCACTGTCTCTTCTTCTCCTCTCCATCAACCCTGGTGACACGTCTCCAACTCCCCTGGAAATGATCTTTCCTGTTATGCCTTCTGATTCGCCTTCTTCATTATTCCATGCACCACCTCTGGTTGTTTCATTAGAAAGTATTATTATTATTTTTTATGACAAGATATTATTTATTTTTTCTTTTCTATTTAGAGAACATAAAATAAAATTTTGAATTTACAATGTATAAATGAGTTAGTTTTCTTGTTGTATGCATGAATAGATTAATTTATACATAGTTACATATTGATCAAAACTAAAACGACAAATAGAATATATCATTTTTCAAGATAGTATAGTATATTATTCTATTTATTGTTACAATATAGTATGTATTTTCTTCTCCTCCATCTCATGTGGTAGTTTCTTCTCATCTTCCATCAATTACTACAAAAATTCTACTAGTTCCTCCACAAAATCAAATTTCCATCTATGCTTTAAAATTTTTATCTTGGGCTCACCTCCCGAAAGATTGAACATTTTACATTGAAATTGTAGTATTTTGTTTTATTACATCCTACTTAGAAAATAGAAATATAAGTTTACTTTCTCTGTGTTCAAAAAAAAAAAAAAAAAAGTTTACTTTCTCTCTCTATCTCTCAATAAAAGATGCTCCAGGATTTTTATATATGCAACTTATAACTTTCTTACCTTTTTTTCTTTTTTTTTTTCTTTCTCCTCTCTTTCCCTCTCTTCCTTCTTTTCCTACTCTTCCTTTTCTTTCTGTCCATTGCAATGTGCTATTGTCGTTATACTATCTAAATAAATATAATATAGTATATCTAATTAACGAACGTAACACAATATAATATGGTATATCTAATTAACGAAGGTAACACGGAGAAGGAGTAACTCATTCATTTTCATATTTATTCTTCCTCAAAAATCGAGACATGATTACATTCTTAATTTTTTCTACTATATTTATTTTATAAATTCACCCAAAAGGATAATCATCTTTCCACACCAATCATTTTATAATATTAATATGAGTTTTTATGTACAGAACATATACCATTTTTGTCACAATAGAGCATTGTATACAAATCTTTAAATTACATTTTCATTGTACATATAGATACGTTTCAGTTGCATGGTTATCGTTGATTTGAGAGTTTTTACATTTCACTTATACAAAATATTATTTAAAATCTGGATATATAACTTAAGATTATGTGATTCTCTCATAATTATGGATTAGTACAATTAATATTTACAAAATATGTAAATCATAACAATTATTAAATAGTTTGATCATAATTTAAAATAATTTGTAGTTTATACTTATGGGAAATAAATAAAATACTATATTAAGATCATTATGTTCTCATGCACAAATATAAATATTTACACATTTTCATCAGTTTATAAATATAAATTTATTTTTAATTTATTTCTAAAAAAAATAATAAATTTATTATTAGAGGTCATTATATTCTCTTCTTAATTAGATATGTGATTTCAAGTATACTATTTTGGATCAGTTAGAATATTCTTTTAAAGTATGTATGATTTCATCTATTCTTTCAAATTAAACAGTTTCTGTTTTAAGTAGGTTAAACTGGATCATTTTTTTCTCAATTTTAATTACTTCGTTTCATTCTCTTAGATATGAGGATACAGTTTATGCAATTTTGTATGATATGATATGTGTTTTTTGCGAGAAAAAATACAGTCAGAGTTGAATTAATAAATTTCAGTAATATTTTAAAATTTAATATATGTCATTTGGAAAGTTAGTAAAAGTTTAAATATAGAGGAACTGAGAGTTGTAAAAACAAACTGGAACAGTAAGAT